TTCAAGCTATTCAAATACGAACGCTTCTCAGCAAAGCCATTTGGACCGCATCTGCTTTGTTAAAGAAAACCTTTTGGGGGGTAAAATCATCCACTTCATCGGGTTTTTCAAACAAAGCAGTCAGTGGTCCTGTTACTACCTGCTGACCTAGAGAAATTTCTCAGAAACTTTTGTTCGAAAAAAACGAGTTTTATATTTTTAAGAATTTCCATTCTGACAGCAAGATTTTGTTATTTTTCATATATAGATGAAAAGAAACTAATTTGTTTTTAATAAAGAAGAAAAAATTAATAAGCTTATTTAAATTTTTTACACAGCACCGAGTAAGGAGACGAAATTTAATTTTCTTTATAAATATTTTTCTCAGACAATACTTTAGTGTTTTTCAAATTACGAGAATAGCGCGTTAGTGCATGCATTTTCAAATCAGATTTATTTAATTAATATATATGGATATGCCGAACAAGCACACTTTCGCACACATACACTGTATATTAGTACATACATAAAAATGAAATAAAATTTGAAAACAAGCAATTTAAAAACTACTGTATTGAAAAATTATTGAAAATTTGTTTTTACCTCCTTCATTTTTTTTTCGTTATATACATTTACTTCAGTTTTTTTATATGCATTTGCATTTATTTTCTTAATTTTTATTTTGTTATATGCATCTGTTAGTGTTTTTGAAAAATTTTTAGATTTTTTGAGTATGGCAAAGGAAACGAGATCTATCAGCCGAAGGCAATGAATGTCTCCATGGACGACTTTCTAAGTAAAACGTACTCATGTTCATGTTACACATAGGGAAAATCACAAAATTCAACCAGTTCGTTTGTTTGGGTTCGAATATGAGTCGAAATAGCGATAATCAGATATCTTAGCCAGGAGGCCATTGATTGGGTTTGACAGATTTGGAAACCTAATAAATAGTATTTAATAAATATAATATTATTAAACGAATCGGATTTATATAAACCAAATAAAATTCTTATATCGAACACAACTAAAACTCGATATAACTTACACTGATAAACTGATGTGTAATAACACTGATAAATTAAAATACTAAACGGAATATACATTACATAGATAATTTTTTGTAATGTATTTCGCTGGGAACTGGCCGCAAAATCCTGATTATATATACCCTTATTTTAAGGTTATCACATATCTGATGGTTTGACTTTTACCTCAAAACACAAAGAATCCACAAAATTCAGTAAAATTAATAACTTTATTTCCCTGTTGAAAATTCTCTGAATCTTTTCAAATATAAAAGCACACGCGCCAAGCAGTTTGCTTTAAATAAATATATGCAGCAACGAGAAGATGCGCTTTTGACAGCAACTCGTTTCGAAAATCGAAAATTTTTCTAAATGTAAGAGATTTGTCGCTTAAATTAATTTTTCATTAAACAAAAAAACAAAATAGAATCGCATATTATTAAAAGAATTTTATTGATAATTCAGATTCTGAAAACAAGAACATTGTTGTTATAAAAAACAAAGAAAAAATAAACAACATATTTCATTCAACGGGGGCCAACTTTGGCGCATGAACTTTTCAACATAAAAATATTTGAAGCATGTTATGGATAAAGGTTTATTTGATTATGGCAAAGTACTCGATGGTTATTTGCCTAAGGTGAAGGATGCCTTCGTTCGAGGACTGCCTAACGGAAATTGGCTTGCATACATGTTACACATATGGAAAACTAAGAATATCATCCTGGCAACCAGCTCGTTTGCCGGGATTCGAACCCCGGACAGAACCACCAGTTGTTCCGTTAGACTCCGCTCAGTCGCTGGTGGGCTGTCCGATAACGGAAAAGTTCAAAATTTCATATTAGAGGAAAAGTGGTAGCATAGTATAATTCGAAGTTATTGCCATTTCAGTAATGTGAAGAGATTTCAAGAATGTTTAATTATTTTATTTAGCTTATGACAAACTAAATAAAAATAATTAAACATTCTTGGAAATCGCTTCTCTTAACATACTGGTAGTTTGACCTGCATTCAAACCCCCGTGAACAAGCTGATTGCATGGGCGTTTTTATGGTTTTAACTTTTTGTAGTGCGAGATTGTTTCCCTTAGAAAATCTGTCACGAAAGCATACCTCCCTTAGACAGATCGCCTTCACGTGCTTAATAATCTAACAAGCCAAACCAAACACAACCCGAGCGAGGACTCGTAGTCAAGGCACGTCATCATGAAAAGCTAACTAAAATTGGCTCATATTCACATTAAACATGGGCAACAAAATTCGCTAAAACTGGTATGCAGGCAATCCATTCGTCAGGATTTGAACCCGCTTCAAACTATTAGTATTCAACGATTTTACCGCTACTTCGTTGGCGGCCTTTTGTAGTATCTATAAGAAAAGTAATCGCAAAGACACAATCATTGCGTACCGACGGATGAATTAAGTTCGGAATTTAAAGAATAACTTTCATTCGTGCTATTGCTGTTAGCATTGACATTTGGACAGATGTTAATTTATTTTAAATTCTTTTAATGTAATTAATTTATATCTTTAAATAATTGATCTTCTGACTGTAATTTTTTGTGCGCAGTATATCTAACCCTTCCGTACACTAACTGTTTTAATTAATTTACACTCCATTAATTTTAAGAGATTTTATATCGATAGATTTCTTTCCAAAAATGTTTCAAGGATTACATATTTTTTTCTTTAGATTTCAAAACATTTTGGATTTAAAATCTTAATAATAAAATTTTTAAAACAAATATTTCTAGAAATTCCTTCGGCGTATTCATTTTTATTCCATTTAGTTGAAGTTTCGAGTAGAATATCTTCCTTTCAACATTCATATAATTTTTATATGTCAGTTCGCCATTTCTACGGAGCATAGAGCCACACATACGAGTACAAAACTCAGGCATGCTGAAAGCACAGTTTTAACATTTAAGAATGTAAAAAAGAAGAATATACCATTATAATAACGCGCATTTGAAATACGAAGGCAAACAAGAAAGCTGGTTGCAACATTTTATATTTTTTTTCCTGACGAATCAGAAATTGTAATCATTTTTCAATACAAAAATAAAATATTTGATTCTATAACATATAGGCATAAAGGCGTCCTCCGTTACAATTCTTATTTTTTCTTGTTTCTACTAAAATTCGGCAATGTACTATAACAACGTCGGATCCTGTTTGACTTTCATTTGTATAAAGTACCACAAGGCAAACAGTTGTAAAACGATTTATCTTCTTTCGCAAACTTTTAGTCGGCACACAGATAATACATACCTGCTGTCTGACAAAGATACTTCACTCTAAGGACTTTTTCCTAAAGTGCTCTTTTCAAAGAGACTTCACACCCTATTAAGACCTTTGTGTCAACTGACAGCCGCCTGCAGAAAGGTAGGGGAAGGAAGACCAGATCGCGTCGTCTAAACACGTCTTAAGCAATCTTCGCGAAATTCGGGCTTCGTGTATACACGTCTTAAGCATTTTTCGTGCGATTTGAAATTCGTGTAAAGACGTCTTAAGCATTTTTAAAGAAATTCCAAAAACGTTTAAACACGTCTTAAGCAGTTAAAGGGTTAAAATAAAAATGATTTAACAATTTTTTGAAAGCACTTCTGTTTTATTGGTTTCGAAACCCCATACAAGGCAGGTGTCACATATATATTTGTTCAGGATCATAATATTCAATTTCTAGAGTTTTTAGTTAAACAAATTTAAAAAATAATATTGCGCGGGTCAAAGGGTTAAACCCATTTTCGAATGTGACAATTTTACATTAAAAACCGGATTTTAAGGCTCTTTAAACCATAATATTGTCATTATTCAGTGTTCTTTGGCTAGCAGGTGTTTGAAAGTGACTCAAAGAAATCTCACTTATTCAAGAAAAAATTCTCTTTTTTGGAACATTTGGTACATTTTTTTTTTTTTTTTGTTTTGTTTTTTGTAAGAAATAATCCCCATTCCACGTTGTTAGAAAAAAAAGTTTCTGGTGCCCTGATGGTTTAGATATTAGATCATTCTAGACTTTATACTGTATGTATATCTTTGTTACTGTAGAATGCGAATAGGTAATAAACTGAAAGAAGTATACTGGAATAACAAAACATTAAGTGCATCTAACTAATAATGTGTAAATCCTGCATACATTCCAATAACTGGCCATTTTAAACGCCGTCATGTTAAAGAATTGTAGGAATTGTTAACGAGAGTGTATGGAGCCAGATGTTTTCTATAACCTTATTTGTTGAATGTTTTAAGTAAGTTCTAAGTAGGGCTTCTGACTTCTTCCTCATGTCACCTGTACTTAAATTTAGGTGTATTTTATATCCTTGTGAGTACACATGCCATAGTTTGTGTTACCAAATGGTGAATGCATAAAGTCAAATGCAGATTTGGTTTTTGGTAGCTGAATGAGCTAGTTAATTTTATTTTATTTTATTTTATTTTATTTTTTTTATTTTATTTTTTTATTTTTTTTTTATTTTTATTTATTTATTTATTTATTTATTTATTTTTTAGTCTTGTGTGTAACATGATAATAAGATCTGGATGGTGCTAGGCATTTTGCCACCCGCTGCAGTCTGCATGCCCTAAATTCTGTTGTCCAGTCTTCCGTAAATTCTATAAAGTTTCTACTGCCCAGGCCTCTCCTAAATTTCAAAAATTTTGCTGCTCAGTTCTTCAAATTTCCAGATTTAGCAGCCTCTAAATTCTGCTTTCTGGTATGGCAGCACTTGTTGCATCACCTTTATAGATATATAGTATAAACTAGTCATCTATGAAGATATCCCTCCTAGTGTAGAACCTCCTCAAATGCTTTTGTATAATACACATTAAACCAACCTAGCCTATTTTTTCTCAAATGTAACTTTTTATCCTTTAATACAGAATATTTAATTTATTTATATAGTTATTATTATGTTAATTGAAATTATTAATTATTTGTTTTTTAAATGTATAAATATATTCTAGTTCTATTAAATTATTATTATGTATTTTCTAGGAAGCGTGTCGAAAATAGAGCTATCCCTTTGAAATTTCCTAAAGAAGCTGATGAAGGTATTTGGGGAGGAGAAGGTGTCATTCAAGGTTTCATTAAAGAAATACGTAATCGTAGAAGGTATTTATTAATTTTTTATACAAATGTTTGTGAGAAATGTGTTTCATGAAACAGATTTTCCCCCCTGTATTGATAACATTTTTATTGCTTGCAAGTTATTATCTAATGGTATATTTCTAAGCATATTATGTATTTTCACATAAGTCCACTTTGTATTCTGCCATGTTTTGTATTGCTTCATGTTTCAATAGGTGAGATATGATCTGTAATATGATCAATTCTAGTATCTTATAGAATATCATACCAGTTTATGGTGATAAACTGTTTTTGAGGTCGTTATGGTTTTTAATATTAATTAATCTTCAAGTAAATTCTCTAGTGATACTGCCCAAGTCATTTTTCAAGAACAAAAATAGGGATGATAAAATACTCAAGTGGAATGAACTATACAGGAATTCTACTACTGCCTCCTTGACGAAACTATATTTTCCTTCCATTCCTCACAGATTGAATAATAAGCATTTTTCTGCAATTTTGAAATAACTCAATTTTTAACTGGACATGGTAAATTCAATTCGTATCTGAAGAGATTTAGATTATTTAGTACAGACTTGTGTTCATGCAGTTTCGGAGGAGTGCAAAATGTCAAACATTTGTTGTTCTATTGTTCAAAGCTCAAGGAAGGAACTCATTTCTAGGCTAAACTCTGTGAATATTACATTTCCTAACCCTCTTCACGTATTTGTCCAACATAAAATGGCTTTCTCTTTCTTCTGTAAATTTATCTCTTACGTGTCATCTGTGAATTTATCATTTTATTTTGTGTTGTGTTATTGTATTTTTTTTTTTTTTTTAATTTTTTTTTTTACTTAGCTCTGTAAACTTTGTGTAATATTATGTGGTGCACAAGGATTTTAAAATATTAATTAATGACAGTTGGGGGAAAAAAGAAAAAAAAGAAAAGAAAGAAATTCTTGTATGTCATTAGAGCTTTCCACTATTAACAGATTGCCAGAAATTTTTACAGAGTTCAATAGCTGTAATTTTTTAAATATATTTGTTTTGATATCGTATAATTGAAAAGCAGTGATTATAAAGAGAGTGTTATGTTTGGTATACATATATATACTGTGTATATAAATACAGTCCTTTACTGATCATTATTTGATCACCTGGTAATTGGTAGCTTCATTCTGGCTTTAATTACCATTGATAAAAAAGTCTCACCTAGTATAATTGTAAACATGATCTAATTTCTTTTAGGTAAGCAGGAAGTCAGATTGCGTGTGCTTGCTTTGATGCAATAAATTAGTAATTTAACCAAGGTGAGCATAACAGTAGTGGACCATTTAAATGCATTTCTGCAATTTTCGTTGAGAAAATTAATACAAATACGATTTTCACCATTACACTTTTATCATAAACTGCAAACAAAATATTCTAAATTTTACTGAAAATTAAAAATTTGAATTTCTTTTATACGTTAGTAGTTATGCATGTTAAATTCCTGATGTATCTATAGTATTCTCATGTAAATTGGGTCTCTCAAATACTTAAGATTTAAAGTGGAAAGAGTTATATTTTTCTGTATGTTTAACATACTTTTTAAAATATGTGCATAAGAAAGGTTAATTTAAAGTTGTAATGGCTGTATAAAAAAGTATTATAAAAGGACTCTGAGCAGGATTTAAATTGTATTTTATTTAAAATTTACCTTTCACAGCTTTGGTTTCTTTCTTTTCTTTCCCCAAAATTGTATATAAATTATCTTTCATTTTTGACTGTGAAAAATAAACATATAAGCAATTAAATTTTGATTGTTTCTGAAATGAATAAGTAGTGACCCATTATTGGTTATGACTATCATGAAGCACTAAAGAAACGTGTAAAATTTTTAATAAATAAATGTACAAAATCTGAAATTAAGAAACAGTGTAAAGTATTTTTTATGTTAATTAACTGAATTTCGTATGATTTAGAAGTGTATTATCACTTTTTGTTTTCACTCCTCAGGATCTGAAAATATATAAGGGTAAAAGTATATTTACGGGTACCCCTTGGCGAAAATTTTTGATTTTTGGCAGTACATGGATACCGAGTTTGTGCAATTCTTTGACTTCTTATTTTGGCTTTGTGTAGCGCCGATTTTTGGGTTAAAAATCAAAAGACAAAATAACAAGTCAAAGAATTGCACAAACTCGGTATTCATGTACACATTGACCTAGTTTCACTTAAAACAATATCACAGAATTGCACAAACTAGGCATTGCGCACTCCCTTTATCCATGTACACGTCAACCTATTTTCACTTAAAAAAATCAGATAATTGCACTCCCTTGACTTGTCCATGTACACATTGATATATTTTCACTTAAAAAGTCAAAGGCGCACCCAATTCTAGGTAAAAGTATATTTACGGAATATTCAAGTACTCAGGTTACCATAAATGAAACAACTTGGCTATGAACGAAATAAATTGGCGATAAATAAAACAACAGCTTCACGATAATACAAGGGGTACCCTCAGTCTACCATAACCGATATAAGTATTTAAGACCGAGTTCTTGAAAGTTTAGACAAAGAGGTTTTGGCAATGACACTGACTGTAGTACTTTTCCCTTGTTCAACTGTACTATTTACTTATCTGACATTAGTTGTTTTCTAGAAGTCAATCGCACACTTGGTATCAGGTTTTTAACGAATGTTTCCTGCCACCGCAAATATCATCTGTGCAAACAGTTCATATTGTTATGTTTAATCATATTTTGTCGAACAGTTTTTGGCATTTTAAAGAAAGAGACTTGCTTTAGAACACTGTGTTGTGAAATTTGTAAAAAGAGTATTGTTATCATTAAGTACAAGGTGTGTAAAATGGAATTATCACATTACTGGTTTAGGTACTAATGTTGTATCACATGACACTGTGAAGGCTTGGTACCGAAAGTTCAAATACAAGGACTATGACATTCAAGAAGCAGAGCGCTCTAGCCGACCTACTTGTGTTGATGAAGCCCACCTGCGAGAACTTGTGGAAGAAAATCAGTATGCAATCACTCGAGAGCTTGCTAAGAAGTTATACATTAGTTCCATGTCCACATTGCATAAAGTTCAATTGCAGGGTGCTGCATGAGCTGACTCAAGCAGATAAGGACAGACGTGTTCGGGCCTGTACTAATCTGCCCGAATATCTACGCAAGAACAGAATTCTGGACCAGATTGTCACTTGTGATGAAATGTGGATTTATTTCAACAACATAGGCCAAAAAGGTTGTTGGTCTGCACACGGTGAGCCCGCTTTGTATATGGTGGGATTGCCATGGTATTATGCACAAAGAGTATCTGGGAAAAGGTAAAACCCTTGACAGTAAGGTGTATAGTGAGATGCTAGTCCGTGTTGATGCTGCTATCAAGGAAAAATGTCTTAACTGAGTTTGGGTACAAAAAGATAATGTTCCATCAAGATAATCCAAGACCACATGTGTCTGCATTCACTGGCTGGACTCTGTACGGACTCGAATGGGATCTTTTGCCACACCCGCCATATAGCTCCGACATCACTCCTTTAGACTGTAGAGTCCAATAGATGAACTTCTGTCTGAAACTGGAGTAGCAGGAAACCACACAAGAAGGATTAAAGTACCCTTTATTAAATCTTTGAAAATTTACAATTTGTCAACTCGCGCTAACAAACTTCGCCTCTGCTTGGGCGGTAACTGAAAACTCAAGTAACGAAACTAAAATCTGAAGATATTAACAAACTAAAGGGACTACTAGACTACAGGGCTCAGCAAGATTCCGTAACGTAAACCCCCTTCGAAGCTAGTGGCAGCAAATAAATGCAATTACGCTATTTGAATCAGCAATAGGCAAACCTACGGCAGAGATGGCGACTAGAGCCTAACTCTCTCTTTCCCCTATCGAAACTCGCCTTTTAAATACTTTCTACAAAGTAGAAATTTGCATTCCTTCACGTGTGCTACAACATTTAACTATTCTGGCACTAACAATTAGGGGAATGAAGGCTTATAGGAAAGTTTAAACTTTAAATTGTTAGTTAAAATAAATATAAATCCCTACAAGACTTCTACCTTTTCTTCACACCTTCTGCAATTACATCTTGCTTTGTGCTATCTTCCATTCTGCACAGGATGTCCGAAATGAGGTTGATCTGTTTTTGAACTCAAGGTGACCAAGTTTCTGGACTGAGGGCTTTGAAAAACTACCAAAACATTGTCAGAAAGTCATAGATTTGGGTGGTGATTTCTACCCACACTAAAGGTACTGCTTTCATATCCCCCTAACTTTATTAAGAACAATTTTTGGCAAATATTTTTCTTTACAGCCAGATAATTTGAACCAAGACATATTAGGCTGTTTGCATTAATTCCCCAGCATCAACTTAATTTAATGTTCACCTTTCTGTTACTGATATAGCATAAACTTCATAGATTTAAATTGTAAACACAAATTGTGCATTTGTTCAAGTTAAAGTTTTGAATGTAAAAGGTTGCTTAGATTTTCTTCTGTTTCAGTGATTAATTTCTCAGTTAGGATGATAACTTACCTGACTCTAAATAGGGTTGAAGAATTCGAGTTGATTACAGATGGAAACTCTAGAACTAATAAAAAAATCTGAACTAAGCACTCTTTTAATTCAGTTAAAATGTATTTCAACCTTATGCCTCCCTTAAAAATTTGCATTTTATGTCTTACATGCATAATGTACAAAATTTTTAATACAGTACAAAGTCTGAGATCCAGAATTATCGGAATCATCAGGATCCAGAATCATTCGGAATTTTGGAGCTTTCTAAATTTTAGATCATCAGTTTAAATCTAGTAAGATGACATGTTGGCGTGGAACACTGAGGCTTCACTTATTCTGCAGGCCAGATAGAAAAATACTACTTCATGCACAGGACCGGTGTCAGAGCAGGAGCACTGGTGCAGTTGGGTGTCAGAATACAGGGGCAACAAAAATTAGGGTAGGCTGAATTTTTAGAGTTCAGGAGAAGCAATGGGTGGAAGAATTTAGGAGCAGCGAAATTTTTAGAATTCAAGTCCTTCAGAGATTTCACTGGGCAGCTTTAATAAAAAAAAATTATTTGTGAACCATAATCTGTGAGTTTATTATTGCTATTTTATGATACTCTATAATCGACTATCATAAAAAGACTTGTGCTTTTTTTTTTTTTTTTTTTTTTTTTTCTTTTTTTTAACTTTTCTGTTCAATTATGTTTCATGCTTTAGATTTCCTAACTACTGGGTTCCAAATTTAAAGAAGACTGTTGTATATAGTGAAATTCTAAACCAGTATATGCAAGTAACAGTCACAGAAAGAACTCTTAGATTGATTGATGAAAACTGTGGATTTGATCATTATATTTTGAGTGTAAGTTATTTTTCATGTAGTTATAAGTTTATGGAATGCATTGCTTATATTTTATTTATGATCTTTAAAGGAATAGAGGCCATTTGCTTTAAAGTTTGATTATACTGCATATAAATAAAAATTTCATTGCATATAAGTAATGCTTGAAATTTTTGAGTGGGTTATAGAAATAACATTCTTTGCTTTGAACAGCCCAGTCACTAGTGGTTGAATGTATGAAACTGTTAAATACTGGTAGTTCGGTCCAAACTTGAATTCTAATGAATGAGCGTTTTCATGATTTTTAATTTGTGTAATGTGAATGCATACAAATTTAATGTAAAATGCTTTCCATGAAAGCATTCTTTTTCAGAAAGCTCTCTTGTGTGTTTTACTGTAATTAACTCTCTGAGTGGCTTTTTTTTTTTTTTTTTTTTTTTTTTTTTAAATCTGTTTATGAAAACCTGGATTTAAACAGTAATTATTAACTAAATTTTTATAATTACTTATTTTAATCTTTGTTTTCATAGACTTGCATTAAGATAATATTTATCTTATTAAAGGAAGTAAGAAAGCAGTATTATCTAGTATATAACAACTAACAGAAAATCTCATGACTGGATTAAAGGCAGTCATGTCATTCATAGGGTTAAAAATCAAACCATGAAAATATAAAGAATTTCTTAGTACTAAGACTAGATGCTAAGATTAAAAAATTAAAGCCATATGCTATTGAAGTTCAGAAATTAATATAGTACAGATGTGGCCAAGCTTCTTGACAGTCCGAGCGATTTTTCAAAATTTGAAATTTTTTGCGAGCCGCAATTAAAAACATATTTAAAAAGTTTGCAAGAAAGGTTTTTAAAAAAATTTACAGAAATTATAGTTATTGAAAACATATAAATAAAAGTACGAAATATGTGTATTGAATTTAAATTTTAAAAATTAAACACATTTATTTTACTTCTCTTGATAATTCTTTAAAATTTGGTGAATAATTGGTGACATCACTTCCCAGTAATTCTTTGAGATGCTGGTTAGTTAATACTGATCAGTGTTTGGATTTCGCGGATTTTAAAGTGGAATAAAATGATTCACATAAGTATGTTGTTCCGAATATTGAAATAATTCCACAAGCAGCCTTTTTTAATCCAGGATACTTTGATTCTGGTACAAATTTCCAAAATTCGGTAATCGGTGTTGACTTATATTATAATTGTAGAGCTTGATATTCTTGCATCTCTGTTAATTCTAATTCTCCAGATGTTTTTTGGGTCATAATTATATTGGAAATGGAAAACTCACCTTGAATTATGTTAATTTCAAATGGATTCAGGAAAAATCAAGACACGATTTAAAATATTTCAAGTCTTGAAATCTATTTTAGAATGCCATCAGTATCCTTCTAGCTTTTTTATATACTTGTTCAGTTTTTCTTGTTTAATATTGGAACACATTTTTTTAATTCGAGGAAAGCGACAAAATGTTTTATTTTTAAAGCCCTTTTGAAAAGTTGTAATTTAGTTTGAAAACTAAATATACACTGTGAGAGGTCAGATATTATTTTCAATTGTAATTATAAATTTAGTGTTTACAAATGTTCCATGACATCAGTCAAAAACATCAAGTCTTGCAACCACTCGTCATCTTCTAATTCTGAATAGGTTCTGAATTTCTTTTCTTTCAGAAATGCAGTCATTGGATCAAACGAATCTACAAATCGATTTAATACGTTCTAACAATGGAAAAGAAATTAATGTCATTTGGAAGTTCTTCGTACTTTAATTCTTCTGAAAAATTTTTGACTTGTCGATGATTTTTTTGTATTGGTGCGAATGTAATTTACAATGTGTAGCAATGTTTTCAGAACATCAGGATATTTTAAATATTTTGTAACATGATGTTCTCAGTGAATCATGCAGTGAATCCGTATGAATTGTGTACTTTCATAATCATCTCTTAAAAGCCCAATAAGACCGATTTTTTTTTTTATCCAGCATTGCCGGAGCTATTAAGAGGCACATAAAAAATTATGGAATCTAATGCATTTTTAATATCAACACCGTGGGTTGACTCTTGAAGTGCTACTAAATCTAATAATTCTTCTTTAACAATGAAACGGGCATTTTGCACGAGCAATATTCCAGGCAATAACAAAACTGGCTTCAGCCACATTATTAGCTTGATTGCTAAAGGTTATCAAAATTGACTGTTGCGCATTTAAATCTGATTTTTAAGAAGCAAGTTTATCTGATTTTAATTTTAGTGGATACTGACTAGAAAACTGAGGATGATTGCTTTCATAATGTCGATGTAAGGTGCTAACTTTATAACTTTTGATGGTAGAATTACAAATAACACATAATGTTTTTTCCATTATTGTCAATAAAAAAGAAATTCTTCTCCCACTCATTATTAAAACTTCTATCTTCTTTTTATATTTTCGTTCTCTCTTGGCATATTTTTAAAAGAACTGGAAATAAATAAAGAAATTTAGAAAATACAAATTTTGTGTTATTAAAACAATAACAGCACGTTTTACATACTGCGAAACAAATTATACTTAACATACCACAAATTCCAGATTACAAATTATATCCGTAGCAAGAGTGATACAAATTGTTTCCTCCAAAGCACAAAGTTAACTGTCTGCTGCAATGAAAGTTTACAAATTCAAAAATCCGTCTGGAGTCAATCAATTACGTAGATCATCATTCGTAGAGAAGCAATCGGCCGGACAAGGCCTTGACTCCCATATGTTTCTCAAAATTCACGAGGCAGTCGAAGAGGAAGTAAATGCGAGGAACTGAACTGTTACACCACTGTTTGTGTTCATTCGTGCATTTTTCGATGAGTCATATCATTCTTAAATTAAACGGATGTGAAATTTGTTACAATGGTGCACTTAGTCTTTCATATTTGTTGTCAGTAATAATTTAAAAAACATTTTGAGACACACATGAAATGATAATAATTTTTTAAATATATAATAACACAAAAGTGAAAAGGGAACTCGGGTGCGCTTATCGAGAGCCACAAATAATCCTTCAAAAAGCATGTGGCTCGCGAACCGCAGGTTGGCCACCCCTGATATAGTATATACTGGGTAAAACTTCTTTACAAATAATCTTTTTTAGGTATCACAAAAATCATATTTGTATATATTCTATGCCAAATATTATTTTGATTTCTTCTTTATCGTAGGTCTATACAGTCAAAAGTCGTTAATCCGGACTCATCGGAACTTCGGCGATTCCGGATTATCGATTTTTCCGGATTATAGATCATCAGTTTAAATCTGGTAAGGTGGCATGCAGAAATTATAAAATTAAAAAAAAAAAAAACAAAAATATGAAACGAAATATAATTTATGAAATAAAGAACAATTATGATCTAAAGGGTATCAAAATTTACAAAAAAAAAGCATAATATTTATTTGTTTACTTTATTAAACGTTTCTTTCAATGTAAGTTGTTTAAGTTGCTTCGTTTTATGTGATAATACTTTCTCTTTAATTCTATAAACAGACATAATTTCTTGTTCAGTTACAAAGTTCCGCTGTTCAAGTGCTATAATTGCTGTGTCAAGAATACCGACTAATTTGTCAATCAAAATTTTTTTGTTTTCAATAACCTCTGTGTCACTTTCTTAACTATCGGAAGCGAATTATAATGACGAGGAATATGATTTAAATCATATCAAAGACGGAGTACATCGAGATGAAATACTGCATTTAGTAAGGAATTATAAGCCAAATAAAATAAAAACATCTGCCCTGAAGATAAGGATAGTGCTGACAGATCAACTTCCAATTCATTGTGCGCCGGGGTGTCCCCCCCCCTTGCAGAGCAGCGTAAAATTGATAAACAGATTTTGGAATGGTTAGAGAAACAAAGGATATGCCTTTATCCATTTTTTGCTGCAATTCCACTTTTTGTTTGATGGACATCGAAACATACTTTCACTTTGTAGATCCTTTGGGAGCTCCAGCATCGGAAATTCTATTTGACGTAATCGAAAGTTCAAGCGTACTTTTATAAAATTGCTCTAACAGTCTGCAAAAGAATAATAAGCTGGATCCAATTCGAAGATTAAGGAACAACGCAATCTGCAACATTAACTGAAGTAGATAATTAGATAATTTTAGCTTATACCGTCCATTATACATTAAATGCGCATGCGTAAAAATATTATGCGCACACGCATATGCGCAGCCTTAAAGGTCTCACGTGCATGCCGACGCATGCGCAGAAAGTTTGTAGCTTTGAGGTCCGCATTATGGGTGTCCGAATTAAGGACTTTTGACTATATTATTATTTTATACTTAAAAAAAAAAAAAAAAAAAAAAAAAAGAAAGAAGAAAGAAAGAAAAGGTTTTAGTCTTGATATCAGTTTTAGTTTAGGTATCAGTCTGCTTATTCTTTTGTACAGAAAAAAGAATTAAGAAGGGAATTAAACTGTTTAATTTATCAATAATCAAAACATTACTTTTTAAAACTGTGAGGGAAATAACTTTTAGGTGCTGTAACATCAGGTATTACAAATAAGGAAAAGTAAATCTTGCTATATTCTGTATTTTGTAGTATGCAATAACAAAACAGAAAACAAATAAATAAATAATTCATGAAATCAGAAAATATAATTTTTGCTAATATTAAGAGAAATAGACACATTCTCATAATTCAAAAGAAAATCACAAAATGAAAAATGCGATAATATAACAATTATTTTAAAATGAAGCGTTCTTAATCTATGTAACGCAGTTGGTATTACACATGCAGTCGCAGCTGATACATGAATGAACAATATTTGTATAATTTGTTGATCCTCTTCCATAAACTTTGTTTTTTCAAAAACTGGAGAGAGAAAAAATTTAGCGGATTTAAATCTGGTGATCATAATAGCCATTCCATTGAACTCCTTGTCTAACAGGGTTCGTACGGTCTTTAAGAGTCCTTAAAAGTCCTTAGATTTTTTGGAATCGATTTTTTGTCCTTAAAAGTCCTTAATTTTGGCCACAA